GCTCCCAGGCCTCTGGTAGAGGACCCAAGGTTGAAGGATAAAGACTGTCCACAGGGCAAGTGTGGAATTAGTAAATATGCAGAGAATGCAGAGAAAACACAAGACTTTATTTTCCATCAGTACCTGGTTCCACAGCGGTTTATCATCGTATCTGTGAAACAGAAACATTTAAGGACTGTGAAATAAAATTTATAGCGGCTGTACATTCCAGGCCTTCCTTAGCTATGTAGATATTATAACAATATTTTCAGATTAATCTGTCAGTCTGCCCCAGGGCAGCTGTGGCTACAACAGTAGCTTGCCTCCACCAGTGTGTGAATGCGAGAGTGAATGAATAGTGGCATTGTAAAGTACTTTGGGTGCCTTGAAAAGTGCTATATAAATCCAATCCATTATTATTGTCTTACTTATAATCAGGTTATATTTACTGTCCAGCTCACCTTCTGTTTCTCCTTCACCTCAGCTACAATCTGTGTCTGTCTGATCTTAGCACTGAAATGACAGACAGCAGCATCTCCAGGCAGAGGGAAGACAAAAACAGCCTCTGATGGTTTGTCCTCCTTATTCTCGTAGTTCAGGGTGGAGACCACTGTAGCCACATGGTCCCTCACCTGCAGCTCCACCTCAATGCTCTTCAGAGGAACTGACATTCAAACTGAATTACCAAAAAACCATAAGTCAGAGATGTTTTGAAAATGGTTGTTTGTTTCTTCTTTTTACATTTCAGCAAAAGAAACTTGTTAACCAAGTTGATATTTAAACATGGTTCTGTCCAACAAAGTGTCAACTTAAAACAAAAAAAAGAAGAAAAAGTGTAATTTTGTTAATATTTATATTTAACTTATCCAGTCTATTTTTTAAATAACTTTCTTATTATTTAGTTTTTTTGTAGGAACTGTACTTGCAAAACATAAACGTGCAGATCATGTCTATATTGGGTCCGTCAGTTCATTACCAATTCTGGACATCTATGCAACATCCAAACTAGGCCCACAATCTGGATATCCAACAATGACCCAAGTTAGACGTTAATATGACTTTCAACATTTTAACTTTGGACTAGCTAATTTTTCTGGACATCGCATGGACGTCTATGAGAGGTGCAGGAAATTTACATGATTGATAAATGTAATATTTTTTTGTTTAGAAATATCAAGCTCGTTGTTATGAACATGATACATATGAATACAAACTATTCATAAGAAAACAAAATTTATTAGCCTATGTATTTGTTCAGTACATGTGGGGTTTTGGGGGGGATTTTTTTTAACTGGTTATTTATTTCATTATATGTCCTCCACCTTCTGAAAACATGTTACTAAAGAGCCTACAGAAGCAGTATAAAAATTATATCTAAATTAATATAAATTTGATGTTGAAAGAACAGCCACAACAACCACATGTAGGCTGCTCGTACGCGTATTTGTACTATTATCCCCAGTTTTTATTTTTTATTTTTATTTATTTATTTACAATTATCCTCTCTATCACAAAAGTATGTGAAGCAAAATATTACATGCCAAGCAACGAGTCTTTACAATTAAGGATTAAATAAATGACAATGGTAATTTATTTAATGACCGATTGTCATTTATTTAATGAACTTACGTTCATTTTGAAAAACGTTCATTTAGAAAAACGTAAGTCTCTTTGTATCAGTACCTGGTTCCTTTTGGAGATTTAACAGACCAGAGTAGTTCATCCTCGTACCTGTGAACCAAGAATATTTGAGGACTTGTATTAAAAATAAATGTATCCTTTTATCCATTATCGGGTCCTGAGGGCAGCAGCCTAAGCAGAGAAGCCCAGAAATCCACCAAGGCAACGCGTTAGCACCATGCAGCCCCACCGCGCTAACGTGGATTTGCCACCTTAATGAATCAGAGCGAATCAGAGTCCGAGCACCCAACCTGTGGACTGTTAGTCGGCAGACAAGAAGGAAAACAGCTACAGTTGTAATGTTCTATCATTTTACTACATTCATTTATTAGTGTCTGTTTTATACCATTGTATCCTCTTTAGTTTCATACATAAATAGAGTCTAATCCACCATCACATTAATAAAACGTTTGGAGGTAAATGCTACCTACAAGGGGTCTAAATTCAACAGACAAGTGTAGATTTCTTTCAAACTTGCCATTTACGTGAAAAGGGAAAGACTATATCTGAGTCGAGGAGGGGGCCTTTCGCCATCTTGCAATGCTGTGATTGCAGCCATTTCACAAATCTCTGTGAATGGTACTCATGGCAACTGATCAGCGGTCTTTGATCAATAAGCTTTGATCAGTGGTTGTTGATCAATGGTCATGAGAATTTGCATATTAATGATCAAGGAACTGACCTCCCAGCCTATTGTTCCTTCACTGGTGCTAGTTTCAGTCATTATAAAAATGTACTGTTCATAAGGTTGGGGAAACGTGCAGTCAGCTGAGACTGAAGAAGTCCCTTTGATGAGTGACAAAACGTGTCTCTCACTGAAAACGTTACGTCCAGATGAACAGACTCAAACTTTGGGGATTAACTTGCCATTAATTTTGTAATCAAAGTTAGGGCTGTTATCGGGGCGGAGGCCCTGGTGTTTTTTTACAGGAAGACTTGACCCTAACACTCACGTGGGCAATGACAGAGAGACCTGAAGCATTGTGATTGGGAGGACCAGCCTGCCTTATCTGAACCTGAGTAGTGTTTTGTTATCAGACTTTGTCCATAATGACCACCATGTTTTAACATGAGAATGGCAATAAGTGCATGTGTCACCCGGACATCCTAGGTTTTCAGCTGATGATCAATTTTGTAATCTCATCATCGGATCTGCAGCCATATATTCTGGACACTTGCGTAAAGAGATGATCTGAACTGACAGCTCACTATCCAACTCACCAACTGGTGGTGGAAGAAAATAAATGGAAGAATAGATGGAACAGAAATATAAATTCCTATTTCTTTCAAAATAATAGTCCAACCCAATCTATATATGGATACAGACATACAGTACAATATATGGATGTGTTTATGAACTTTAATTATTCAACTTCAGGTCTTAAAGTTTTAAACACATTGTGCACATTGGTATTTTTTTTAATAAAAATTAATATGAGCTACATTCCTACCTGATGATTTCCTCTTTAGGCACTCATAATCAAACACAACAATACAAACGGTTTAAGAGCGTTACATTCCTCTTCCATTTACAGAAAGAAAGAAGTAGTAAATATTCTACTAAAACAGGGTCCTAAAAAAGAATCTGCTTTGATGACAGTTTTATTGTACTTTCAAACAGAGTGTCATCTACAGCAAATCTATAGCAAACCTCCCTCGTTTACCCACACCTATATATTTGCACAGAGAGATTGAGGTTCCCTGTTACATTTACTGAGATCAGCAGCAGACATTCTGTGTTTACGACTCAATAAAATGACATTAAATGACACTTTAATGTGTTTTACAGCATTGCAGACAGTTTCTAACTGTCAATGTTACAGTGAATAATGGTCAGATTAGGGTTGATCTTTAAACACAGGAGTGTAACTGCTCCTCTCTATCAACCTATTACAACTGATGCCGCAGCACTTTCAAAACCAACAAACCACAGACATAACATTTCTTCAGCGATGGCCTTCATAGCTGCAGGATATCACAGACAGCACCCCCATGCATAACTGCAAGTCAACAGTTTGAAACAACAAGCTGCAGAGTTTACCTTTGCAGAGAATTCTGACTGTCAATGATTAGGGTTGATCTTTAAACACAGGAGTGTAACTGCTGTGTTTTCTTACTCATCAGCAGAGATAAATATAATTTTTTACAGCATTACGGCGTAAAATACTTTACAATGATAAATATACTGTAGGATAAATGGAAGATTCTGTCAGTTCCTTCAGAAATGCCTCTTATAGCTGCAGGATGTCACAGATAGCAGACTGCAAACTATTTTTTTTCTTTTTCTTTTAATTTTTTAATTAAAATAATTTAATTATTCCTGTGTTTTGTGAATCATGAAGTTTGAGCTAAGGGAAACATGAACCAGTTGGTTGATGGTGGCTAAAGCTGGAATATTAAATCAGTAAATGCTGTCATCAGAATGTAAAATGTAAAAACCATAAAAACGAGGTAAAGAGTAAAATGAGTACTTGGTTAAGCCAGCTTTTAAAAGACGTCAGCGATATGTGCACTTTGTGCATCTTAAATAAAATTACCTAAACTGCAGTCACTCAGTCAGCAAACCACAAACAGTCAAAACACCTGCGACTTCACTCACATGTGTGTGACCACATGTGTGTGAATGTTTCAGTCTAATGTTTATTGTGAGAAATGAGTCACTTGTTTAGTGTGAAAGAAATATCTGCAGAAAAATAAAGTGCATGATGTCAGTTTCATTTTATCATAAAGTGTTAGATGAGATCAGGCTGCAAGTTCAGGCGTTGCTGAAAGGAAAGAGAACCAAGATAAGCTGGACAAATCAAACAATGACTGCACCTGTGCTGGAAGTGAGATTCTTCTGTCTTTTGTTTATATCATATTTATAATCAGTACTAGCACACATTGGTATTTTGTAATTGGCAAACTAAATTTTACTAAATAGTGTAGCCTTTCTCACAGTGCTGTCATTATTAGACTGTTTTACCCAGTGTCCTCTGCAGGTCTGAGACTGAAGTGCAGCTGGTTCTCAGAGGGATGACCTGCCAGGCTGTACTTCACCGTCACACAGCCCTCTGCTGCCTCTGAGCTCTGACACAGAATCACAGGGTCAGAAGTCACGTTAATTACTGTCATCAAATACCTAAACAACAACATGAGAAGGTGCTGCTCTTACCTGTCCAGTAAGCTGGGCATAAATCAGTGACCTCTGACCCTTGAAAAGTATTGTGATTGGTGGAGAGAGGACAGTGACAGACCCTTCCTTTGGTAAATCCCATATGACTGTGACAATAGGGTGCAGAGCAAATCACAGCGACTGCATCACCTGAAAAATAATGAAAATCTCTCCAAATATACACAAACAGCTGGAACGCACATTTTACTCACTGCAGGTAAATGGTAAATGGCCTGTATTTGTATAGCGCTTTTCTAGTCCATAGGACCCCAAAGCGCTTTACATATCCAGTCATCCACCCATTCACACACACATTCACACACTGGTGATAGCAAGCTACATTGTAGCCACAGCCACCCTGGGGCGCACTGACAGAGGCGAGGCTGCCGGACACTGGCGCCACCGGGCCCTCTGACCACCACCAGTAGGCAACGGGTGAAGTGTCTTGCCCAAGGACACAACGACCGAGACTGTCCAAGCCAGGGCTCGAACCGGCAACCTTCCGATTGCAAGGCAAACTCCCAACTCTTGAGCCACGATCGCCCAGGTCTGATCTCAGATATGGATCTGCTGCTGCTGCTGCTGCAATGTTTAATGTGACTTTTAATTGTGTTAAATGTCTTACTTTTGGTTGCATCCTGTCAGTCCCTGTGATGAACTGAGCGTGACCTCCTCCTTCGTTGGCCATCCCATTGATGAGAGCAGAACTGGCCCCTTCCACAATCCCAAAAGAGAAACACCTGCAATACAACAGTTTTCTTTGAGTACATAGAGGACATTTTGGACATTCTGGGAATTGTGTAGATATAATTTTGTTTTTGTGGTTTCACCTGTGAGAATCTGAGTTCTTCTTTACCAGATCTATCACTTTTTTGGTGTCCCACACCTCTCCATCAGTAAAGACAAACAGCTAGACAGGAGAGTTGGCACATAACATTACATCCAGAAACACACAGCTTGTTCTGAGAGCTGAGTTAGGTTTCAGAAGCACAAATGTTTGTATTGTAATGTGCAAATGGTAAATGGCCTGTATTTGTATAGCGCTTTTCTAGTCCCTAAGGACCCCAAAGCACTTTACACAACCTGTCATCCACCCATTCACACACACATTCACACACTGGTGATGGCAAGCTACAATGTAGCCACAGCCACCCTGGGGCGCACTGACAGAAGCGGGGCTGCCGGACACTGGCGCCACCGGGCCCTCTGACCACAAAGAACAATGCACAGTTAGTACCTGCAACAAAAACGAAACAACAAAATACAGGCAGTTGCCAGTCCTCTTAGCCTCCTAGTAGATAGTGCCTGTACTACATGATAGGTGAAATAGGCCATAAAGATGTGCAAATTTTAAGTATTTTTCTGAAAACCTGACCTCTGACCTCCATCTTGAAGTTGAGGTCACTGAGATTCAAACGTGTCTGATATGTTTAGTAGATGCAACTATGGTACAAATTGCAAAATCCACCATCAACTCGTTCTTGGAACATTTGTGTTTGATGTAAGTTTTACTCATGTTGTAGAAATTATGTCTGTTTATACAGTCCTGTTATGGAGATGTAAAGAAAGACATGTGCAATGACATAAGTAATTACATTCCAAGGCAAATGCAGGAAGCAGGAAGCTCCTGAGGATGTTTTACCAGTCGGTGGTTGCTGGAGTACTTTTCTATGCTGTGGTGTGCCGGGGGAGCAGCACAGCAAAGAGGGACTCATCCAGGCTGGAGAAACTGATCAGGAGGGCTAGCTCTGTGGTCGGCATGAAGCTGGACACTCTGCACACGGCCATTAACAACCAGAAGAGTCTGTTCAGTGACAGGTTGCTTCTCCCAAAGACAAGAACTAACAGACTTAAAAACTCCTTTGTCCCACACGCCATCAGACTGTTTAACTCCTCTCTGGAGGGGAGAGGGAGGGGAAACAGGAGGACAAAGGAGGGGGGAACAACTAAGCTGTAGTGCCTCTTCACCTCACTGTGCAATACCTTTTGTGCAATACTTTTGTAAATAGTCAACAGTGCAATAGACTCAATACTTGAAATGTGCAATTCACTTGTATTTTTATTTTTTATTCCTATTTATTCTATTTATCCCCTTCGTATATTTTATTTATATTGTCTCTGTATTTATATATGTGTGTGTGTGTGTGTGTGTGTGTGTGTGTGTGTGTGTGTGTGTGTGTGTGTGTGTGTGTGTGTGTGTGTTTGTGTTGTGTGTGTGTGTGTGTGTGTGTGTGTATATATATATATAATATTCTGTAACTCTGTAACTTCTGTCGGTGCTGTGCTTTTTTGGAAATCGAATTTCCCAGAGGAACCCACCCGAGGGATTAATAAAGTTCTATCTAATCTAATCTAATCTAAAATGGTTGTTTTAACTTCCTAGGACTTGGCATCCACATATGTGGACATGACATTTTGGGTTGTCTAGACCACAATACACAATTTTGCTCTACAAGGGCCTGATACCACTTACGAGGCCATACTGCCAAAACTGCGAAAACGAATGTCCTTGTATGTGACTATCAGGCTCTTGTAGAGCAAAATCAGGTAAAAAGATATGTCTTTGTTTTTACATTCATCAGTTTTTACATCCAATCAGCCCAAATAATAAAGAGAAATTAAAAATGCATGCCATGAAAGAGCTCGGGTCTTAGGAGGTTAAGGTAAGAGTTAGGCAAGCAGTAAGGTTATGATTACAAGAAGTCCCCAGAAAATTAATTAGAGCCACTGTGCATGTTACCTGTCTAGGGTGACTGGGAATGCAAGGCTGGTTGTAAATATATTTGAGGGGCTCCAGCATCCCTGATCCTCCCAAATCAGCCTCCATGTGATCAACATTCTTCAGCGCCTCCTGCATGGTCTCTTGGCTATACTCCACACTCTTACTGCCCTCACATAAATATCAGTACACAATTACATGCACTTCATACCAAAAACAGAAAGTCTTTTGTTGGGCTGACTGATACGAGGGAGAGACTCACAGGAAGATGTGTTCATAACTGGACCCAAAACTGTAAATGTTGAAATAGCAGCACATTGGTAAGTTCTTTAACAGGAGCAGCAGAGCGGAGAGGGACACTATTAAAGATGTTATGACTGTAATAACGTATTAAGGATACCCTGGCAGAGCTCATATGAGTTTCCTCCTGCTCACTCTTACTGATAGCCCATACTTCCAGATCGATCCATTAAGAACACAAACTCTCCACAAGACGTCCCTGAAGACATCACAGACTGGGGGAACTCAGGGTACAAACTCACCATCACCACTGGATCACCCATCAGAGTGCCTGAAAAATGAAAGGGACAGAAAAATGACGCAAAGCAGTTTTTACTGTTTATTCCAACAAATTGCAGCAAACAACTTCACTCATTTTCACTCACCCGGCTCAGCAGAGGCCTGTCCTGCCTCCACCACAGCAGTGGGCTGGTGAGCATCTTTGTAATAAATCAGCAGTTCAACATCTCTGTCAAACTTGTGTCCTGCAGCCAGTTTGACCAGCACGGTGGCACGGTGGTTAGCACTGTTGCCGCACAGCAAGAAGGTCTTGAGTTCAATTCCACCATCAGGCCGGGGTCTTTCTGTGTGGAGTTTGCATGTTCTCCCCGTGTTTGCGTGGGTTCTCTCTGGGTACTCCGGCTTCCTCCCACCGTCCAAAGACATGCAGCTTGTGCGGATAGGTTAATTGATTAATCCAAATTGCCACTAGGTGTGAATGTGAGTGTGAATGGTTGTCTGTCTCTGTGTGTTGGCCCTGCGACAGACTGGCGACCTGTCCAGGGTGTACCCCGCCTTTCGCCCTATGACAGCTGGGATAGGCTCCAGCGCCCCCCGCGACCCTGAAAAGGATAAGCGGAAGCGAATGGATGGATGGATGTGCCTGGAAGTGGGTTGACAGAGCATTTAAACAATTTACAATAATTTTATAAGATTCATTATATATATTCCAACTTTATATCATAAACATTTCAGCTAAATCTGTTTTGACAGAATTTTTTCTTTTAGACAGTACATGTTTATATTTGTCCAAGAGTATAGATTCTGATTTGTTTTGATAGTAAGAAAGACCAGTATACACATATACTGGCTTTTATTTTTAAACATCTTTTAGATATTAATGTTCAGAGATCTTGATGCATTCTCAGTCATCCAGGTAAGTAAATCTCTAAAGGTTGATTCTGTTCATCTGGACGTAGCGTTTTCAGTGGGAGAAACGTTTCGTCACTCATTAAAATGACTTCTTCAGACTTCAGCTGTTGATCAGTGGTCATGAGAATTTGCATAATCATGATGAAGGAACTGACCTCCCAGCCCATTGTTCCTTCAGTGGTGCTGGTTTCAGTCATTATGCAAATGTACTGTCAATAAGATTGGGGAAACCTGCAGTCAGGTGAGACTGAAGAAGTCTTGATGAGTGATGAAACGTTTCTCTCGCTGAAAACGCTACAACCAGATGAACAGAATCAACCTTCATGTTCAAACATTGCTGCAGTTTCAATGTATGAAAAAAATGCCATTTAAGTAGGTGCACGAGTCATTTTTCAAAAATATGTATGTTGAAAAGTATTTTAGTTATAAAACAAAATTTTGACTGCAATAATTATAGCTGCTCAAATTTTGTATCATAAAAATTTTATTCAAATCAGTGACAATCAAGCAGAAAAGATTCTACAAATTGTCCAATTTGAGATGGAATGACTTACAGTAGTTATTTTTCGGTTAACATGTAAATAATTCCATGTAATATCTTACTTATTTCCACATATGTAGTTATGAAACCTTTTACATGTTTGAATTTGAGGGTTTCTGCTAGTGTCAAGTGTTTTTCATACCCCGATATTTGAGGATTGAATCGAGGGTTGAGCACAGCAGGCAGACAGAACCTTAGACCATCATCAGCCTGCACAGCCAGCTCAGTCACATACTCCAACCTGATGGAGGCGCTCTCTCCTGGAGGCAGACTGCCCACACTCAGAGAGAATATATCTGGACTCTGATCACTCTCCTCCAATAGGAAGGCCTGCTGACCCGAGCTCAGAGCATCATCATACTCCTCACGAGCCTGAAGGACAGGTGACACATGTCAGTGACATTCACTGTGTTTATAAGTAAGATTAAAAATAACAATAATCAGGTTATATTTACTGTCCAGCTCACCTTCTGTTTCTCCTTCACCTCAGCTACAATCTGTGTCTGTCCGATCTTAGCACTGAAATGACAGACAGCAGCGTCTCCAGGCAGAGGGAAGACAAAAACAGCCTCTAATGGTTTGTTCTTCTTGTTCTCGTAGTTCAGGGTGGAGACCACTGTAGCCACATGGTCCCTCACCTCCAGCTCCACCTCAATGCTCTTCAGAGGAACTGACAGTAATACAGAATCACCATGAATACATAAACTAAACATGTTTTACAAAGAGTTGACTCGTGGATTATTTCTTCTTTTTACAAGGAAATTCTACCTGTTTACCAAGCTGATACTTAAAAAAAAAAAACTCAATCCAAGATTATTTACAATACAGAACATGAGGACTGGTATAATGTTGTTAAGACCGCTTTCATCCTTCATGGATTTTTGAGTTGAATCATAACTTTGACTGTGTTAACTATATAAGACACTTTCTTTAATGTTTATTCTGGAAGTTACATTTAATTTAAACAGACTTTCATTTGACTATTCAATAGTAATATTATTCAAACTGAATTAACATGAAAGACTAGATTTTTGTAGTTCTGAGTTTTTATACTTTAATTTTTCATGTTTTTAAGAACTACACAAAGACAAACACGAAATGTATGACATTGCAGACTGTATTTCTGCTATTTGTCCCTCTTTTCAAATACTGTGTTTAATTAGATATTATCTCTATCACAAACAATATGTGAAGCAAGATATTATGTGCCATTATAACCAGTAACCAGTTACATTAAAATATTACAAAATCCAAACGTGGTCAGAGAGAAAACAGAAGTCTCTTTGAATCAGTTCCTCGTTCCTTTTAGAGAGTTAGCAGACTGGAGAAGTTCATCCTTGTACCTGTGAACCAAGAACATTATTTTAATGCTAATACGAACATCTTAATAGTTAGTTAAATTTTAATTGCATTATTAATTTGATTACTTATGCACAGTTTTCCAGTCATACAGTTTTTTTTATAGTGAGGTGTTTTCATTTTGTTTTCTTGTTTCTTTTCCTAAGGGAATGGTTTGAAAATCACTTGTCAGCATTGTCAGCTAACAGTGAATACTCTTGGTATTATAGTAGATATTTAGTTAGGCTTAAGATGTCTGTGTTTGAAAGCAGACAGGCAGCATAAATAGTGCTTTAAACTGGTCCAATTTATGTTGTGAAATTGTTACATGGTGGAGGAATGTGTTTTTCTTATGTGTATGTGTGGTGGGTGAGGTGGGCGGAATCGTCACCGCATACCACTGTTTTGATGACAGGTAACAGCTAGCCTGAAGCACCTTCCGGTTTAGTTCTTCCTGTTGTTTGCATCATCGAATTAAAAATAAAGAGCAACACCCCAACCACCACCCCCCCCAACACACACACACACACACACACACACAGATGTCTCTCTGTAAATGCGGTTGTCTGTTGCAGCACAACCACATTTCTTTATATTACGATAAAAACATATAAACAAAATTAATAAAGAATTTCAATGTGACAGCATCCAGGTTGCTATCCTTAGTTTTAAGGTTTCCGTGTCAGTGTGCAGTAATGTGTTGCTGAGCAGCAACTGATCAGGCTGCTTAAATAAATGCACGGTAGGAGCTTACCTCTAAAGCCCGACATGTGTGTCAGATGTCAGATGGTTTACTGCCGTCCCCGTTTGTAAATATTAAAGGCCAAAGTGTTCACACAGCACAGACTCAACTGATATGTCACCTCTATCTGATATTCTCCACTTACTTGTTGTGATGTGGGTGGAGCTTTTTTCGCAGCCTTAGCTCTGAGAACACAGTCATCAGGACCTGAACCCTGCGTTTAAAAGTCTTGGTACAGAAGACTGTAGGGTGGCTACAGAGGGAAACCTGGGAAAATGTTCTTATAGTCTTTATGTGTTAAACAAGTAACAAAGTATGAATTTCATCACCAGAAAGGGGGAGAGAAAAGTAAGGAACAGTCTTTCTGAAAGAGCTGCTACAGTAGCTGTCTTTACTTTATCAATGTTATGAGAACAATTCTGATTTATCTATTTATTTGTTTACAACGGTAAACACAAATTTCAAATACCAATGTACAATACAAATATATAACAATTCTAATTATATAATTAAAACAAATGATAACGCACACATAATGTTGTCTGGTCGTTCCATACATTTTTATACATCATGTGTTTGTATTCAAATTTTGCTATATTATCATTATTATTATTATAACAATATCGCAAATTATCAGTTTTTGATTTTATTTATTAAGATGAACAAGTCACCTTTCCAGGCACTGATTTCTCCACCTCACTGCTGGTCTTACCCAGTGCAATAGCCAGAGGCGCATCAAGCAATCAGCAGCCAGACGCCTGCTGGAGGGAGATTAATGTCAGCAAAGGGCCTGTGGGTGGCTTCTTAGCTACAACAGGTAGAAAAAATTATTATTAAATATTTGGTGTATTTAAATATTTATAATATTTAATACCTACCAGATAAACCAGTGCATAAAAACCACTGCACAAAAAAATAACTGACACACACACACAGCCTTCCCCTTTATTTTTTTCTACCTTCAGTGGCCCTATGCTACTATAGTAGCATATATCTAAAAGTTTAATGTTATTAAAAAATAAGGCAAAAATGCATTCAGATCACAATTCTGATTGCAAAGCTGCCAGACAGGATTTAAAAAATAAATAATGAAATAGAATAAAAGTCACAAATCAAGGTTTTACTTGCTGATTATTGATTTTTATTATTGTAAAAACAGAACTGCCATAATCCACCTGCATACAGTTTCTCTTGTTTAACTTCTCGATGTATTCATAGAATTACAGTACTTGTCAGTACGTGGAGATTTTGCACCGATAACTAATAACTGACTAAGTAAATAAAAAAATGCCGCAACTTGGACAGTAGTGGGAGATGTGTTTGTTGTTTGTTTTGGAGTGTCCCTTTCTCTGCACGACATTTTTGAACCAAAGTATTAAAATGAATCACAAAGGTGATATACTAAAATTAGTGGCAGACAACAACCATTCATCAGGTAAGCAGGCATGACTGTAATATCATTTGTATGTGACACGAACGCCACAAGAAAGGTAGTGTTATACCTGTTGCTCAGTCTGTGGCTTTTTGGCAGAGTCAGTGATCACAGTGTTGTCTTTAGTGTAGCCATTGCCCTTGTTGTTAGGTTTCAAAAATGACAGTTTAGTTGGTTAGTCATTAAAGAGACGCTCTCATGATTCATCGAGTGACACCTCTGACCAAGCAATTTGTGGCACGCAGTCTGTTGATGTCACATTTTCTACTTGCATGGATCGCTTGGAACCCCGGCTGAGGAGGTACTAAAAAACTATCCACTACCAGATACTATCACTTAATGGAAAAGGCTAAAAACAGAGTTGAGCCGTGCTGACCCAAATCAAGTAGGTACTATTGGAAAAGGGTTCATAAGAAATCCCTCAGAGTCCCAGAGCTTCTTTCATCACGCTGCAACCCAACAGTAAATTTGCAGCTTCCACACACTCTGTCACCCACGGTGCTGAAAACACAAAACAAAGAAAGACAGCTGAGTGTGGCATCAACCAGTGTTAAAAAGCACTTTAGCACTTTCATAAGGGTTACTACCATTCTGAGCACGGAGCCATGAGGCAGCCTTCATAGCCAGAAGATCCCACTCATTCTTTGAATCCATCTTTAAACCATGAAGCCAGATCAGAGCCAGAATGGTAGCCCAAATTTCCTTGTTGGCCTAATTCACCAAATCAAACAAAATCAAATGATATAGACAGAACACAATCCTTCACATGGAAAATGCTACCCAATGATTATGATCTTGTTTCCTACCACTTTGAAAACATAAATAATCTGAAAGAAGGCACTGAAATACTTTTTTGACTGATAATAAATATTTTTTGCTCCATTTGCTCACTTCAATGTAATTTGTTTATGTTATAGTTATATCCATCTTTATGTTATGCTCATCTGAAGTAGGTCATAGTGGCAGCAGACTAATCCATATATTTTCCAGTTCCTTCTGGGAGATCCAAGTGCATTCCAGGACCAGACAAGGAATATAATTTCTCCAGCAGATTCCCGGGGACTCTTCCCTTTTGGTCATGCTCTAAATATTCACAAAGGAAGGCGCCCAGGAAGCATCCTTACAGATGACTAAATTACCTCGACCTACTCTGTCTGAGATGGAGGAACAGCAGTTCTAGTTCAAGATTTGTCTACATGTCAGAGCTTCTCACCCCATCTATAAGACTGAGCCCTACGGAGCAAACTTAATTCAGCTGCGTGTGCAGTCATGACCTTATTCTATGGTCATTACACATATTTCATGATCATAGGTGAGGGCTGGGATGTAAATGGACTGGATAATTGAAAGATTCACGTTTTGGCTCACATTTCTCTTAACCACAAGAATCCAGGAAACATTCCACCACTTTCCAACAAAGAATCATGACTTCAGACTTGGAGGTGCTGACTCTCATACCAACCATTTCAAACTGTGACAAATTGCTCCAGTGGATACTGTCACAAGCTGGCCCATGGCAAATGACAGAGGGAAGACAAGACAGATTGTGTTGCTAATCATTACTTTATTCAAAAAAAGGAAATAACAAGCATGGGATATGAGAAGTGAAAAGTATCAGTGGTTGAATGGAATAGATGTGTGCTAATGTAACACAGAAGGTCACGCTCCAATGAAGCATACAGAACCACATATATCACTTAATTGCGACAGATTATGTTGGTTGATATATATATATATATATATATATATATAATTTGCAAAAAAACAGATGTCATTCTGAGATTCCCAAAGCAGATGTCCTTCTTGAAATTTTAGAATAGGATCGAAAACAACAAGCAACCTTCCTGCTCCTCCTCCTGTTCAATGATTGGACGGAACATCTTTTCAAAATACCCTGAATTAAGTTTTCCCTGGGAGGCTAAGCAGCATAATACCCCAATAATTTCTTATAATAATAATAAAATGAGAACCACCACTCTGGACTGCCACTCCACAGGCACTGTCCCAACATTAAAAACACATATAGGTAACCCTTCCTCCTGCTTCTCAACAATCCTGGTGACCGTCTGCAAGTGTAACCGGTGAGACTTACCCCAAGTGTTCAGGCTCTCCTTCCTTCATATGGAACGTTTTGCTTGGGTTTTAGAGTTCCTCAACATGCCTTTTCCTCCACGGGACAGCAGTTCTCCTCCCCAACTAAACATGGCTTGGGCCAAACCCAGCTTTTCCCTCCTGAGTACTGAGATAGCTTGACAGACCTTCTTTGATGCCTGCCAAAAGTCCTCCTCCATAGCTTCTCTGAACTCATCCCACACCCAGGTTTTTGCTTGAAGTTCTGTTCAACTGTTGAAGCCACCCCATTTGGTCCCACAATACCTGCTTCGGGAGTATCCCTGGGCCAACCCAGTCTAGAAAGCCTACTCCTTAACCTTTACAGCCTCTCTCATTACTCTTGCATCCCGTGGGAGGTCCAAAACCTCCCTCTTTACCCATTTAGGTTTTCTAGGACTGTCTAGCAGTCCTCCCTGCCATCTAGTCCGACTCACCATTAGGCGGTCAGTTGACAGCATTGCTCTCCACCAAAGTGTGCAAGACATACTGCCTCTGATCAGATACAAAAACAAAATCAACCACTGACCTTTTGCTCTGGCACAAAGTACACTTACAATCAACCTTACACTAAAACATATTGTTTGGTTGGCCAACCTGTACCTAGTACAGAAGTCCAATAACAAAACATCATTCTCATTTAGAGCAAACAGGCCATTCCCCCCAATCACTCCTTTCACAATGTCTCCAGGTACAGTCCCTTCCATGACGGCACCCAAAAACTTTGTGTTATATATGAACATTTTTAATTAGGTTTCATACTATGAAATCTTATATTATCACTTTATGTAATGATTTAAATTTACAGCAACCCACCAATACTGGCTTTGACTTCTCCACCTCCTCGTTCGTCTTTCCCAGTGCAGTAGGCAGAGCTGGATCAAGCAACCATTTGCCAGTTGCCTCCTGGAGGGAGACTAACTGCAGCAAAGGATCTCTGGTTTGCTGCTCAGACACAGAAGCTGAAAAACCAAAGATGAAACAAAAGCTGGACCTGATTATAATTATTCTACATGTGAAGACATAAAAAGTCTACAATATAAAGCGATCCATAAACCACCATAAACTTTGAAACATTTGTAATATATTTAAATGCCTCATTCAAGTTTTTGTTGACTATATTTTCATATTATTATTTTCTTTTTCCTAATCCACTAGCACACACTACACATACATGTGATGAGCCAACTACAAATGTCTGACATTCTGTAAATGATGGAAGCTGATAGTTTATTGGATTTATCTACTTACATCTAGCATTACCTTCAGACACAGATTTTAGAGCGCCATCAGCCACCGTCTTACAAGATTTCCAAAAGTCACTTAGTATCTTCTTCATCTGAGTAAATACCCCTGTCTTGCTGTCAGACTTATTTCTAGGTTTGTAGCTACAAGCTGGTGAGAGAACAGATAAACAAAACCCTGATATAGATCAATTTACTGTTATTAAATGCATAATACATCGGATTTTGGTGTTTTGATACAAGCTTCCTTTAAAATGATGAACATTTGATTAAGTTCATTCCTCCACAATAAACAGAAATCCACATCCATGACCATGGGCAACAATGCCTGTCTAAAACAAGGCAAATAAAAGCCCTCCAATTCCACGTAATGTGGGGGTCTTAACTAAGTAAACTGTCACCCAGTGTAATGGTTTGTAACTTGTAATGTAGGACAATTTCTTTGGAAAGGTTATTTTTTTCATTGTTCCGTTTTTCTTTTCTTTTTTAAAAGATGTGTCACAACACTAAAAACACTTTTTCACTTCAAGGTTTTAAAATAAATAGTAAATGTTTCTGACATGAGAATTAAGAAATGAAACTACTAAAAACGGGATTTTTATGGTAATAAAATGATTCACCTTAAGTACTACTTAACATGGGCAAATTGTTAATGACTACAAAGGAAAAGGCAAATGTCAACTGTTCCACAAAAAGGCGGTAGTTATTTCAGTGTTTACAGCCATGTATTCATAAAAAAAAAAGAAAAAACACCCCTATTATAGCATTTAGCTTTTAAATTTAACTTTAGCACAGGGCATGTCTTCTGATTGAGATAAGTAAGTTAAACATAATTTTAGAATAACTGAAACCTTTGTGTCTTCAAGACTTCAACTTAATAACTATAATGTTATACTATAATAATATAAGATTGTTGAAATACCTGAAAATATTTAAATGTGTGGCTTTTTACACTGTTTAATGACTAATTTCAAAGGCACAAGTTCTTTAGCAGGATTCAAAATATCACAAAAAAGAATTAACTTTTCACGTTAAAGTTGCAAAAAAGTTAAACAGTAACTGTGCTACAGAAATGTTTTGTTCAGTGCTTACAGGCAGTCACTCTAATTACAGAACATAAACACACATCTGTGTTTCTGTTTTATTTAGAATTTTTGCTCACTTTCATAATCCTGATCAAGAGGCAGTGCGCAATCCATGTAATCTGTGGAAAACAAAGAAGGTAAAGACATTAAGCTAAGCTTCATGCCATGAATCGCAACAATCCATTTAAAACTTAAAAACTTAAAATAAATAAGCTTGTTAAATGTTCAAAATTGTAAAAAAAAAAAAAAAAAAAAAAAGTGAACATTTTAACACACTGTGATTCCTTACAACAGTGCAACTTTTTTCCACAGGATTTAATGTGTCGCAAAGATTTATAGGGGCAACATTTTATATGTAAATTGCAAATGAATAGCATAGTATTTGTATCACAAAGAAATGTTGGTTTGTTCAGTGTTTACCAGCATTTAGAGAAGAAAAACAAACCAAAACAAACCAACAAAAAGGTTAGCTTTTTGCCTACCACCAGATTCCTGATCAGCATCCATGTAACCTATGGCAAGAAAGGAAGGTTCTTTGAGATATATAAAAGAGGGTAAGGGAAGACATAACTAAAAATCTCATAATGAATCATAAAAATCAGTTTAAAAGGTATTTATAATAAAAATTTTAAATGTGGGGCTTTTACACACAGTGATTCATAACTCATTCCAAGTGTGTATGTTCTTCAGTAATATTTAAAATATCACAAAAATGTAGAGGAACAGCATTTTGTTTGTTTTGTTTGTTTTTTAAGACCCAAACAAGTTAAATAGCATTTATTTTTTCATGTGTTTCCAGGCAGTTATGTTGTTCTTTTATAGAAAATCATGTGTTGTTCTTTCTCATTCAGCTTTTTGTTTTTTATTCTTAAATAATAGATCAGGTCAATCAAGGCAAGAAAAAAAAAGAAACTCCAATGACTACAGTCTCATTCAGCAGGATATGGATCCCTGAGTCCAGAGTCCATCATGACCACTTTGCAAATCCACCACCTTCATAGTTTATATTGTTACAAAAACAAACAAACATAAAAACAAAAAATCACTATCGGCCAATGGCCACTCCAGCTGTGCAGTCAGCTGGTGGGTAACGGGCATCTCCAAAAATGTTAGAACACTTTTGCAAATATGTGGTGTCGTTATCAATCGAGCGAGAGGGGCTGTTATTGTGTGTGCATATGGATAATAGCAAAGAAGAAGAATTTTGTTCGCTCAAATTTCGTTTTTCTTCGCTCAAAATAAATTTCTCCTCAAAATGTTGCATTTTGAGGAGAAATTTGTACTTGCAAATTTTTTTTACATGTGCTCAGAACAGTGGCACAAAAATAATTACACAGACCTGTCGTTGGCCTCCAAACCCTCTGTGACAAATTTTTGTGCGTGTCTTCAGAGAACCGTCAAGTTTTGTAAACAGTGTTGTAAATACTCTTTTCCACTAAATAAGCACTAAAGCAGAAGGGATGAACTGCCTAATTGTTTTCTTTACCTTTTCCCTTGTTCATTAAATTAGGGAGTTAGGGTAGTGGTTGTCTTTTATTTGGCTTTTGTTTCATGCAGGGTTTAGGTAGCAGCTTCTTTTGGAATCCATCCATCCATCCATCTTCATCCGCTTTAGCGGGGGCAGCAGCCTAAGCAAAGAGGCCCAGACCTCCCTCTCCCCAGCCACCTCCTCCAGCTTATCCGGGGGAATACCAAGGCGTTCCCAGGCCAGCCGAGAGATATAATCTCTCCAGCGTGTCCTGGGTCTGCCCCGGGGCCTCCTCCCGGTGGGACATGCCTGGAACACCTCACCCAGGAGGCGCCCAGGGGGCATCCTTGTCAGATGCCCAAACCACCTCAGCTGGCTCCTTTTGATGTGGAGCAGCAGCTGCTCTACTCTGAGCCCCTCCCGGATGGCCGAACTTCTCACCCTATCTCTAAGGGAGAGGCCAGCCACCCTTCGGAGGAAGCTCATTTCTGCCGCTTGTATCCGCGATCTCGTTCTTTCGGTCACTACCCACAGCTCTTTTGGAATAGCTTGTTTTGTTTATTATTTTAGCCTTTGTTCACCCCAGAGTTAGCACTGTTAGTTTTGGTAGCAATAAAACTCCACCTTGAGGGTTAACCCTTATGTTGTGCTTCTGTTCCCTGAGACTGGGATGTAAGACCAGATACCCCAGTATACCATCCGGGAACTGGACTGTCAGGACTGTTTTATAGGAAATGGGGGACCAACACAATATTAGGTAGGGAGTAATAATGTTATGAGTTATCTATCAATCTATCTATGACTCCCTTGTAGAAGTAGTCCAAGAACACTTTAGCATGAAACGACTGTAATCTGCAGTAACTAAAGAAGGTTTTTCCAGGCACAAAACGAAGGGAGAAGTGACGACATTACAACTAAATTTTGTACCACCAATGGCAATGATCAGTTTAGCATGTTCTTATAATAAAAAGGTTATTAAAATATCAAAATAGTGTGATTATTATTATTTTTTTTTTTATACAGTGATTCATATGCCATTACAAGGCTGCAGGTTCTTCAGTAACATTACCGTAATTTAGAGGAACAGCTTTTCACAATAAAGCTGCAAACCAGTTAAATACCGACTGTCCCACAGGAATATTGGTTCGGTCAGTGTTTACAGGCAGTTATTCCATTTATAGAAATCTATTTATGAATGTTGTGCTATAATTAGCCATTTACTTACCTTCACAATTCTGATAAGGATTCAGGGTGCAACCAACGTAATCTGTTGCAATTAAGAAAGGCATTTTCAGATCCAAAAGCGAGAAGTTAAAGACATTACGCTAAGCCTCATACTATGAATCACAGCAATCAGTTTAAAATTTATTTACAATAATAAGCTTGTTAAAATGTTCAAAATGTCAAAAACGTTTTTCTTTTCACACACTGTGATTTATAACTCATTACAACAGTGCAACTTTCAGTAAGATTTAAAGTATCACAAAAATGTATAGTAACAATTCTTTTCATTAATGTTGCAAATGGGTTCAGCAGTAACTGTGCCACAGAAATGTTGGTTTGTTCAGTGTTCACCAGCATTTAGAGAAATAAAAACAAACAAAACTTAGCTTGCCATAAGATTCCTGATCAGCATACATGTAATCCATGGTAAGAACGGAAGGCTCTTGGAGATCTAAAAGAGAGGGGAGGGAAAGAAATTATAAAGAAATCTAAAACTAAAATCATGACAACAGTTTAAAATGTATTCATAAAAATGTTCAAAGTGTTATAAATCACTGTTTTTTTTTTATGCACAATGATTCATAACCAAAGGTACAACTTTTTCAGTAATATTTAAAATATCAAAAGTTTAGAGAAACAATATCTGCCGTATTTAGCTACTTGCTTACCTTCATAATCCTGGTAAGAACTCAGAGTGCAATCAACGTAATCTGTAGCAAGAAAAGAAGGCATTTTTAGATCCTAAAGATGGACGGTAAACACATTAAGTTAAACATCATACCATCAATCATAACAGTCGGTTGTAAAATGTACGAATAAAATGAAGCTGATTAAAATGTCAACAAAGTGGGGCTTTTTGCAAACTGTGATTTAATAAGTGCCATTTAACAATATTTAAAATATCACAAAAAGTTATAGAAACAGTGTATAAAAACATGTTTCATATTTCAGTTCCAATCATGTTAACTTTGCAACAGAATTATTGGTTTATTCAGTGTTTACAGGCTAGTTAATGGTTAATGCTTTCATAGATCAGGTCCATTGAATCTTTTTTAATGGTTAGATGGATGTTTGGATATCGTGACTTCCACCTCTTCTTAAAGTCAGTAAAGAGTTCTTTTTACTGATGGCATGAAGTTGACTTTTATGCGAGTTGTACAATCTTGGGTTGATATTGTTACAGCATCACCTTGATCACAAACTACGCTACCATCAAACTAAAAAAAACCCTAACATTCAATGAGATAGTAAAACAGGTACAATAGAGACATAAAATGATCTATATGACATAAAACATACCTCGCGGGCTGACCCATGTTTAGAGGCTGAAATGAGCACTGTACAGATACTTTTAAGAAACCTTTAACATTCCCGGCTTCAACTTGCCATGCTCATGCTTCAAAATGGGTGTGCATCTCATAGAGCCTACATGAGAATTTCTAAAATAAATGTCCTATTGACATAAAATATGCGTAATGCAAAATAAAATACATTAACTAAAATTATGGCAGTAAAACATTTAGCATCAAACAACTGATGTTTTTCAACATTTTATAATTTGAGTAATTAGAAGGTCCTGGATCACAGAGATTGTGAGGGTTGTTGCTCTATTGCCTGTTTATATTGTGACAAATTCTTTTTCCATAGCACGGACAGTATTGTGTTAATTTATATTTCTGACCCCCCAAAAAATGTGTGAGTAGATATCTGTTAAGATCTCAGATGTCAATCCTGGGATCTCCTGGAGCAAGTCAACCAGTTTGGAAGTCACTTCCAAATGCTCCAGTTACCACTGGGACCACTGTTGTCTTCAACCTCCAAATCTTCTAAAGCTCCTCTCTCAGCCATTTGTATTTCTCGACTTTCTTGAGTTTCCTTCTGCCTGATTTTGCTATTGATTGGTATAGTTACATCTATCACTATGGCTGGTTTTCCTCTTCTTTTCTAGCACTACTAGGTCTGATTGGTTAGCCATCACCAAGTGAGTTTGTCCATCTGTATCTGGTCCCACAGGATCTTAGTCTGGTCTCTCTCAACCACCCATTTTGAAGTCAACTTCCAGGCCATACTCGGCGCAGATATTCCTCTATACTATGCCGGCAACTTGGTTATGGTCTTCCTTGTAAGCCCCGCCTGCTAGCATCTTAAACCCTGCAATTACGTGCTGGAAGGTCTCTGGGAAAACTTTGCATAACCTACACCTGGGGTCTTGCCTGGTGTGGTAGACTCCAGCCATTATGAATCTTGTGTTGCCATGATTAGTCTTTCAGTTCAGTTTTGTCCAGCCACTGTTCGGATTTCTCGATATCAGTCACTTCTTCTATCTGTCAGTGCTACTTGCCCTGCATGGACCTATACTTCCATGATGGTTCCTCTTTTTCCTCCTTTTCTTTCTCAGGTTTCTGCTGCCTGGAGTATTCCCTATGTACGTGATCAGTTGTGGTCATCTTCCTGATATACTCATGGCTCTTTTTTTTTTTTCATCCTGGATAGTGGTTCTGACACTCACCAGTCCTTGGCCCGCTTCCTTTCGCTTAGCGAAAAGTTTCAGGATGCTGGACTTGGGCTGAAACCCCATGCATGATAAGGAGCTTTCTTGCAGGTGTTGATTCCCAGATCTTGTTCTTCTCATTTAGCATACTCCTCAGGACTTGCCTTACCCTCGGTGTCTTCTAGAGGCCTCTTGATGGTTCCCATTTGCCTGTGAGATTCCAAAGTAGTTTCTGGCAGTTCAATCGTGTCTGTTCTGACTACCTTCTCTGTCTTTGTTACCATCCGACTACACGTCACCAGTCGGAATGACATTTGGATGTCATTGCTGTTTTATATGTTTTTCATTCATCTATTTAGTCCCTTGTTCAGTCTGCCCTCTCTGCAAACCCATTCAGCTGCCTCCTGAATGGGCCCCACAGTATATAGACCTCTAGCTGGCCATCCTTTATTTGGTACACTGTCAGTGTTGACCAGTGGGTTTTTTCCCCCCTTAATATTTTGGTTTTTAGTTTAATGAGCTTGTTTTCAAGTCATCTTATAAAACTATTTTTAATCACTGCACTCCCTTTATTCATGCACCGTAATTTTGATCTTCAGAGTTGTGGGTGAAAGTTTTAGTTCTTGCTTTTAAAAACTCACCATGTTTTAAAATATTTTTGTGCAGAAGAGGTCCTTGAATCGCCTCGCCATTGTTATTGAAGACAGCAATGAAGGCAGTCAGTGAACTGCTTATTCCCGATTGGACACTGAGCTGCACCACCTTCTCCTTCACTTTTGTGTCTTGCCATCCTCTGTGTTCTCCCTCCTCCAGGGAACGAATCAGAGTCCGAGCACCCAACTTGTGGACTGTTAATCTGTAAAGAAGTACGGACATAGTTTTACTACAGCTGTTTACCAGTGACTTCTCTGTTTTTATTATATTGTATGCTTTCTAAGGTCAAACATAGATGGAGATAAACCCACTGCTTTATATAAGAATCACAGTGATAACATGAATGGTGACAAATGCTCACACCAAGAGAAAATCTCCTAGTGGAAATCTCAGTCCACAGAACAGAAGCTCATGGTGGCATTTCAAGTGAAAACAGATAAAACGATATAATTATTTTCCACTCGTTGCACTGTGCAGTATATGGACAGGAGGCCTCTATTAGGACCTAAATTCAACATGCGAGCCTTTTATTAAACTGAAGGTGAAACTGATGAAATGTGGAACATAAAGTACAAAAGGAAACGGAAAGCTATAAACTACCGAAACCTAAACTGGGAACTAATACTTACAGTAAGAAGCACTGGAGCTAAGAGACAGGAAGGGAAAGTGAGCTGATGCTCTGACAAAGGACAAAAACAGACTGAGGCAATAGATACGTTCCAAAAGTTAATTTTGCTTTGGAAGGTTCTTAACTGAGAGACATGACTGAAATATCGGCAAAGCGACCATAATAACAGCTGCTCAATTCTGTAAGTACTAAGGAATGGCGCTTCAATGCTTCTTTTATTGCTTCCTTGAGCAGAGGATACACTGGACCATCCTTTACAGAAAGGGAGGAGAAAATGCTCTCCCATAATTCAATGTGAGGACCATCTGACCATTCATGAAAATAAACATAATAAACACAGCTGCGCACCAACATTTGCTAATGGCACAGCAATAAGTGGAACAATAAGTGGGGTTCACCTCTAAACAGTCAGCGTGAAGACAGAGGGAGGAGTTTTAGGACAGAGACAAAGTTTTGGCACTGCAATAAGAGCTTTAAGCATCTATGCAAAGTCCCGATTACACACTAGTTCTGATAACATCTTCCCTCCTGAAAATAAACTCCAGTATCCGGTATCCAGTAAGGGTCCTGGCTAGACCCCCATGTTAAAACAAAGCCCGGGGATGGAGCGGCTACGTCTGCAGCCTGTCCGCAGCTCAAACACAAGTATTTCACTACATGTTGTACTGTGTATGGAACAAATAAAATTTGAATTTATAAGTTATTTATGACCTCATTGACATGATCGTCAAGGTCAAGTAAAAGAGGTTAGAAATAGAACATGGGAGGGATTAACTGGATAGTGTCATATGTTTCACACTTAGCAACTTTAAGTCTAAAGTCATGATCCACAGAACAGTGCTGTTTATATCAAAACTCTGTTTTACCCAGTGTCCTCTGCAGGTCTGAGACTGAAGTGCAGCTGGTTCTCAGAGGGATGACCTGCCAGGCTGTACTTCACCGTCACACAGCCCTCTGCTGCCTCTGAGCTCTGACACAAAACCACAGGGTCAGAAGTCACGTTAATTACTGTCATCAAATATCTAAACAACAACATGAGAGGCTGCTGCTCCTACCTGTCCACTGAGCTGGGCATAAATCAGTGACCTTTGACCTGGAAAAAGTGCTGTGATTGGTGGAGAGAGGACAGTGACAGACACTTCCTTTGGTAAATCCCATGTGACTGAGATGTCGACCACAGCCGGCTGCAGAGCAAATCGCAGCGACTGCATCACCTGAAAAATAATGAAAAACTCTCCAAATATACACAAACAGCTGGAACAGACATTTTACTCACTGCAGGTCTGATCACAAATATGGATCTGCTGCTGCTGCTGCTGCAGCAATGTTTAGCTTGACTTCTAATTGTGTTAAATGTCTTACTTTTGCTTGCATCCTGTCAGTGTCTGTGATGAACTGAGCGTGACCTCCTCCTTCTTTGGCCATCCCATTGATGAGAGCAGAGCTGGCCCCTTCCCCAATCCCAAAAGAGAAACACCTGCAATACAACAGTTTTCTTTAAGTGCATAAAGGACATGTTGGACATTCTGTAATTGTGTAGACGTACTTGTGTTTTTGTGGTTTCACCTGTGAGAATCTGAGTTCCTCTTCACCAGATCTATCACTTCTTTGGTGTCCCACACCTCTCCATCAGTAAAGACAAACAGCTAGAGAGGAGAGTTGGCACATAAGGGCAGAACATCAGACCCAGAAACACACAGCTTGTTCTGAGAGCTGAGTTAGGTTCAGAAACACAAATTGTTTTAATGGTAATGTGCAAAGAACAATGTACGGTTAATATGAACTCAAAATATAGTACTTAAGAAGATGGAAGAAGGGTAGTATGATAATGTCACAGAGGTAAGAGACATATGTACAACATGTTTATATTATTCAGCTATTATTCAGTTTTTTCAAGTCAGTGAAATGTCTTCTGAAGTCAAACATACTGTGTGTGTGTGTTAGATAGTTGAGTTTGGACTCTTTTGGGGGGCGCTCAAAGAAATTTCCATCAGAGCACTCTGGCAGGGCGTGGCTGGCGGTGCCACAGCAGCGAAGGTGGACCTATCTGCGTGGCATCGCAATCACGCCTGCCCAGCTTAAGCGCGGTGTGAAGTCCTGTTGTATTGTTGTTGTGTACGTGTGGCTGGCAGCTGGGAAGCTGAGCAGAGTTGTACAAAAAGCAACCGTTGAATAAAGTAAGATGTTTCAGAATGCAGAATCGTGGTTGCATCATGCCTCATTCTTGCCACAGTGGTGCAGAAACCAGGAAGCGTAAGCAGAAAGAACTCCGGTACTGGATTGACTGCAGCACACAAAGGATTGCGAATCTGGCAGCTCTAATCCAGTTCTGACCGACACCACCAACACCCCCACCAGCTTCCCCAGCGGCAGGCATGCAGCAGGGTGCGAACAACCAAGATGCAGCCTGCTGCCACACCCATCCCTGCTCCTCGGGCGGGAGCGGCTAGTGCCCGGCGCGGTGTCTGCGCTCATATCGGCCCCGCGGAGGAGTGCCACAGAGCAACTACTGTGTCCGCAAACTTCTCAGCCGAGAGCAGTGGAGGAGCCACGTGGGGAAGCTGCTCCAGCCAGAGGTGGAAGAGGTGCACAAGGGTCCATTTTACAGGATTCATACCAATCTAAACATGGTGAACAGGATGGCTGTCATTACATTCATGTGAGGGAATACAAATCTATTATCCACTCGTGAAATTGGGGTATATAATGCTGAGTCTGCATCATAAAGGGAGGGTTTGTATGAATTAATATAAAACAACGCTATTACCAGTTTGCTTCAACGGGTGGATTAGATAGAAATCTCTGATTATTCACTCTGAATAGATCATCGTACCAGTTAGGCTGCTTTAGAAGGTAACAGTTGATGACATTTGCAAAAGCATATTTCATTAATATTAATCACAAGAAACTGTATGGATGAAATTATGTTTGGGAGCTGAGCTCCCTCTGAAAGTTTGAACCTAACCTGGTGTGTTACCTGTCGAGGCTGATTGGGAATGCAGGGCTGGCTGTAAATATGTTTGAGGGGCTGCAGCATCTCTGTTCCTCCAAGATTAGCTTCCATCTGCACAACTGTCTTTAGAGCCTCCTCCATGGTCTGCTGGCTGTACTCCACACTCTTACTGCCATCACACAAATACCAATACAAACATGCACGTATTTCATGTCAAGGACAAAAGGACCTTTGTTGGGCTGGAAGAGACTCACGGGAAGATGTGTTCATATCTGGACCCAAAACTGTAAATATTGAAATAGCAGCCCATTGGTAAGCTCTTCAACAGGAGCAGCAGAGTATCCTTAAGAGAACATTGAAAATATAGTGAGGCCACTGTGTGAGAGGAACAATTTGAAACTAAAGAGTTTATGAGTAAGTATATTATGGATACCCTGGCACTGCTGATGCGAGAATTACTCATACTTCCAGATCGATCCATTAACAACACAAACTCTCCACATGAAGCCACTGAAGACGTCACAGACTGGGGAAACTCAGGGTACAGACTCACCATCACCACTGAATCACCCATCAGAGAGCCTGAAAAATAACAGACAGAAAAAAGTTTATATAAATTTGCTTTTCAGTGGTTTTTTCATACATATTCAAACTTTTGAGTGAAAGAATGGGGATATTAAAAATCTGTCTTTGAAAACCAACTACTCCTATCATTTCCACTCACCCGGCTCAGCAGAGGCCTGTCCTGCCTCCACCACAGCAGTGGGCTGGTGGGCATCTTTGTAATAAATCAGCAGTTCAACATCTCTGTCAAACTTGTGTCCTGCAGCCAGCTTGACCTGCACACCACAAACACATTCATATTTATTCTCAGTAATAAGTACACCGAGCAGACACAGCAGCACTCTACCTACCGTGGCCTGGGTTTGATCAGTGTTGAGGTACTGGAGAGGGTCCAGGGAACAGTTGGACTCTACTTTAGAGATTGGACGAGGAGAGGACACTCGGGCAGAAAAAGACAGACTGTAGGGCACCAGAGAGGCTGGAACAGAAGTCACCTGGACACCTGCACCTTCACTACCTGCACACAACATCAGGTAGAAATATGCTGTAACATAGGCTATATAAATTTAAAGCTTCTAAAAACATCTGGTCCAATTAAAGGTTTCAGGGAAATTAGGTACAAGGCTGGCACAAGTCTTTTACATTTTTTCTAATCTGATAAATATGTTTGACAGTCACAGTGTTATGTGGTATCTTTTCTTCGAGAAAATAAAGTTGAACTTTGATGCTTTTTCTGCCATATATTGTGTTCTGTCACTGTTGTGAGGTTGGTTCAAGACCTAATATGGTTTAACCATTTCTGGTCCAAGTATTTTGAAGTGTTCCTACCCTGAGGCTGGTATCGAGGGTTGAGCACAGCAGGCAGACAGAACCTCAGACCATCATCAGCCTGCACAGCCAGCTCAGTCACGTACTCCAACCTGATGGAGGCGCTCTCTCCTGGAGGCAGACTGCCCACACTCAGAGAGAATATATCTGGACTCTGATCACTCTCCTCCAATAGGAAGGCCTGCTGACCCGAGCTCAGAGCATCATCATACTCCTCACGAGCCTGAAGACAGGTGACACATGTCAGTGACATTCACTGTGTTTATTTTGAAGCTCACTTATAATCAGGTTATATTTACTGTCCAGCTCACCTTCTGTTTCTCCTTCACCTCAGCTACAATCTGTGTCTGTCCAATCTGAGCACTGAAATGACAGACAGCAGCATCTCCAGGCAGAGGGAAGACAAAAACAGCCTCTAATGGTTTGTCCTCCTTGTTCTCGTAGTTCAGAGTGGAGACCACTGTAGCCACATGGTCCCTCACCTCCAGCTCCACCTCAATGCTCTTCAGAGGAACTAAGAAAACAAAACATCCAACATTGTTTTTGATTAAATCAAAATTAGTTTAGTCTCCTGCCCATTTTGGATTTTCATCAACTTTTTACCTGGTTCCTTTTGGGCAGTTAGCAGACCACAGGCTCTCACCATTGTTCCTGTGCAAGAGACAACCACCACAGAGATTTACTCCAAATAAAAGAATTTAGTGTTGCTTTCATTTTGGCTCCAGAAGCCAAATAACTAACAGATGACAATGATAGTTAGGAGGATCTGACTGAGGAACAGTTAAGATCTAAATCTAGAACTAGGGAATAGTTACGTAATATAAGGATTTAAAAGCTTTGCAAAGTTTTAAAGAAAACAATTAAGCATCCAAGAGCCTTTTCTCTATAAATTTTTTCAACATCTGGCAGCTGAACTTTAAATAAACTGGAAGTAGGGGATGAACTTTTGGCTGTAACTTTAGCAGACAGAATTGGAGTAGATAAAATGAAGGCATGTTCATGTCTTTCACTTGTAATTTAAACCTTCTTTTTTTTTTACTTTTCCCACAATTTTTATTAAAAATAAGGATGACTGTATGACCTTAATTTGTAGCTTAAATCCAAATAAAGTCCAAAGCTAGAAATGACACCCTGTTTAGGAGCAGACTTAATGTTTCACGATCATACACATCAGGTCATGCATTAAGTTTGGGGCGCTGCTATGTGCGGCGTGAGAGCATCGGTCCGGTCATCGTCTTGTTGTGTTTATATTGTCACCTTCATTAACCTGCTCTCTCACATCTGTGATTTATTCTTAGTGCTGAATGTGGGCACTCATGAAGACAGCACAACATGGGGGTCGCCAACTGGTGTTTCGGTCCTCTCCATCTACCTAAAATCCATCAGCATCGGTTTCATCTTTCTGTTCCTTTAATAGTTTTATTTATCAAGTATAGGTTGAGTTGAGAGTTACCGTTACTCCTGGTTTTGGTTTCTGTTAGTCTAGTTTTACAGAACAGAAGCCTGGATCCAATGGCACATTGTGTGGTTGATTCATGGTCTTCTTCCTCTTTGTTTGTTTTAGTCAGGGCTTCCATCTCTTTTTTCCCCAGTTTGTCATCTTTGAGTAACTATATTCCCAGTAATGTGTGTGTTTATGGCAGCAGCTTTGTGTCATCTTATATGCTGGACAAATGGAAGTTCTGGGACACCAGAGAGGATTTACTTCTGTTACAGCGTATCATCAGAAGTGCTAAAAATCAAGATGGATAATTTACAATAATGTAGATGTCTAACCTAGCTTATTTTTTTTTACTTAACTATTTATATCATCTCTGACTTTCCCCCAACAACAAATATAGCAGGGATGATGTCTAATTGACAGGCTGATGAGTTAGAAAAAAACAAAAGGTTAAGTACAGGTGAGAAGATTTTTGCAAATGATGCAAATTTATTGATTGTTATTTTTACAGAAACGCTCAAGAAACTGCTTGCATATCTCTGTAACTATGTTACAAACAAACACCGCTCATGCCTCACAGATGACAGCTTACAGTCCTGGTAAAGATTAAAGTGACTTCATACAGCCCCGATTTGCAGACGCTGTGCGCAGAGGTTCAGGAGTAGAAGTCCCATTGTAAACATATCAGGCAGACCCGATGATGTTTGCATGAACATGCTTTTCAGCATCTCTTTATTGACCACTTTTCACGCACAGCCGGCTGTAGCTTTTCAGCTCACAGCCCGACACATACCAACACAACAGCATAGATAGCACAGACGTTAAGGCGGCGAGGCGTGATTGGTTGCAGCTCAGGTGCGTCCGTCTCCCCTGCAGCGGCGCTGCAAACCACGCCCCGCCACACACATTAACCAGGTAAAAAAATTTTGGGTTTATTTGGGTCTTAAAGGTTGCTAACCCCTGCATTAACGTGTTTAACTGGGCCACAGCATCGCGATTTAGCTTGAAAAGACAACAAATTGTGTTTCTCGCCACTGAAATATGAGGTACCCAAACTCGTTACGTTTCACCGCCTACTGCAGCAGCCCTGGTTGAGATTTTTTTTTGGACTCAGAACAAGTTTTGATATTATTCTGGCAGTAAATAAAAAGGAAAATACAGACTGCATCTGTATACAGCTCCTGTCAGCACACTTCTTACGGCGTTTTTTATGAAGTGCGTCAGGTTACAACGTCTAAAGAAAAGTTACAATGAATTGGAGAAAAGCATACCTTTGAATAGAGGGATTTGTGTGTCCGATAAGCACCGATCTGTAGTATGTGTGTGAAGTTCAAGCTTATGCGTCTACAATACGCGCACGCAGTTCTACTCCGGTGACGTCAGAGGCTTTCTGCTGCATCCCTCCAATGAGATCATTTAGTGAGCGAGGCTTCACAGATGCCCTAACAGGAAATTAACTTATCAACTTTATCTTTACACATTAAAAGCTTTAACGATAGTAGTGAGTTTAAGAGTTCCAGTTCGGTTTCAGATATGTCTGTAATGGTATGTTTACGCATTATATTTTATGCTAAAGTGTAGCTTTTACATTTACAGCCTTTGCTCACGTTTACTTATTAGAACTTATGTTTTGATAAACTTATTATTCTCTGATGTTTTGTGTTTGTTACATGTCTTTTTTATTGTAAAGCTTTAATGTGACTTGTCCTGTTAATAAAGAATGAAGGAATAAGCCGCATGGTAGTTCTTCAGTTATCAGTGTAATTTGATACTGTACTCCTGTATACCATTATTCATTTTCTTGAACTGAAGCTATAGATCTTTACTCAGAAGGACTGAGTTAAACCAAAGAAAAATTCTTAATCTTCCAAGCACCAATTTTAATTTTTAATTTTCAGTTCAAGGCACAAATGGAAATACAAGTAAAATAGTTTGATTAAGTTCAAAAAGCATTTAGAACAATTGCAACAAAATAAAAATGAAACATGAACAATAAATATAACAGCGGAGACATCATTCAGTACAATTTAATTCAGTTTTGTTTATATAGCTCCAAATCACAACAGTAGTTGCCTCGTGCTGCCCTCACACCACGTAACAATGTGAAGCTTGACAGCCAGCAAACACAACAGAAGAGATCTCCACAAGGCTTGCTTTTCTTGACTTTGAAGAGCTTTTTAAACCCTTTCCTTTCTTAAGGCTTCTCCTCGTTTTTCTAACTGAAATGTACAGAAAATTAAACATAAATTGCTTGCTAATATACAAATCTTAATCACAAAGACGAACGTTTCCCAAGGCACAAGCGTGTAGGGCACATTAAGCGTGTACATTAGTCTGCACATTAGTGTGCTTTCTCTCTTATTTCTGAGTGGAGGGAGCAGGACAAAAGACACGCTATGGAAGAGAGCCAGAGATTAATAATAACTGATGATTAAATGCAGAATGATGTATAAACACACAGTCAGTGAAAAACGTGAATGAAGAAGACACAACACTGAATCAAAAGGCATTTGGCATAACTAGCTCTTTGAGAAAACTCTCAGAGTCCCAGAGCTTCTTTCTTCACGCTGGAACCCAACAGGACATTTCCAGCGTCCACACACTCTGACACACATGGTGCTAAGAACACAAAACACAAGGATTAAAAGAATGAATTTGCAAGAATAGCTCACTTTAACTTTGTGTCATGGATATGCAGCATTTTCTGTTATTATCGTGTTACTACCATTCTGAGCACGGAGCCATGAGGCAGCCTTCATAGCCAGAAGCTCCCACTCGTCCTTTGCATCCATCTTGAAAGCATGAAGCCAGATCAGAGCCAGAACGGTGGCCCACACTTCATTGCTGCCCTAATTCCCCAATAAAAGACAAATAAAGCAGGGAACACACACACACACACACACACACACACACACACACACACACACACACACACACACACACACACACACACACACACACCCTGAGAGCAATTGACTTTATTCAGTACAATAAACAAGCCATGCACACTTATTTTGTGTGTTTTGCCAGAGGCTTCTCTCTCCTGCAGTGTTATTGCTGTTATCCTGGGGTATTTCTGAAGGTATTTGATAGAGCATCATCTCCTGCGATAGACAAGATGTGTCTAATTTTACATCATAGGCCACGTTCAGCCCACTTTGATCTTAAGTGGGTCGGACCACTGAAACTAAAGTTGTTACATATTTAACCGTTTTTCTACATAATGAAGAAAAACCTGCTATAACATAGAAGGAAACCTGTCAGTACGACTCTTTGAACTTAAATTATAGTAAATAAATGTGTAAAATTCTCTAGACTGTCCAGTTTTTGTTAGTCACAAAAAAACCAAAGAAATTTCTATTGCTGAAAGTGAAAACTAACTTCTCGGTCATTTAATTGTTTATTGCTTAATTACTTTGTGTAGTATGAATGACCATAAGGGAGATTTTAAATCAGAAGGAAAAGATGCAAAACTTATGAAAAGGTTTAAAAGTCCAAAATTGATGCTTGTGCTTGTTAGTGGTGAGCAGCAGTTTAAACAGGTTCAGAAATATAAATGGCTTCCAGTGTCATATTCAGGTCTGTGAGACTAATTTAGACACACAAACACTGAGCCATGGCTCTGGAGGAAATCCACACATTTCTGCATCTCTGTCATTTGAAGGCATTTTGTATATAGTTTATTTTAGGTAATATTCTACACTGAACTGTAATTTTAGTCTTTTTCAAGGAAGCAATTTTTCATTCAGTGATCCCTGTGGTACTTGGAATGAGAAGCCTGGGTCCCTTCAATTACAACCAACCCTGCCCCCTTGAAACCCAGGGCTTTCCGGCTCTTATATGAACACCAGGCAATACATGGCACAGAGAACGGGCAACAACAGAAAGTAATGGAGTTAAAACAGCAACAGGCAGCCAGTCACATGTGAATGTAGGTACACCAAGACAAATTAATGCTTCTACACACATAATCTCAACAAACTACCTTTACATAAAAGGGTTCTGATCTTAGTTTTTACAATTGTGATAACATAACTAATGTAACATAAGGCAAATACCTTCACGGACACCTCTTATGTGGGAAATACTTTTTGCCAGTTTTTACTACAGCTGACTTCATTTTCATCTTTTGGGTTATGTTATGTTTAATATTTGTAATTTCTTTCTATATTTTGTACCATAAAATTTGATTAACATGCATATCATCACTTTTTGTAATGATTGAAACTGACAAAAACCCACCTTTTCAGGCTTTGACTTTTTCACCTCCTTGCTGGTCTTTCCCAGTGCAGTAGCCAGAGCTGGATCAAGCAGCCAGCAGCCAGACGCCTCCTGGAGGGAGACTAACTGTAGCAAAGGGTCTCTGGATAGGTGCTCATGCACAGCAGCTGGGGGAAAAAAAGTACAAAGATGAAATAATAACTGAACATCAAGTGTCCAGTCATGGCCTTTCTATTTAATTAAAAAATAAATATTATACAGTAAATTTACAGTAAGGCACTTTTTGCTCCTTTTTTGTGGTACCAAACTGCGCTCACTTCTTCCCATGTAAAGTTTTGCAGTGCAGTGTTATGGTAAGATGAGTCTGATGTGGCAACAACAATGAAGAATTTATTGGGTGCCCTGATATTCTGTAAATGATGGAAACTAAAAGCTTTATGTGTCTACTTTTAACCAACATTACCTTCGTAAACAAACATATGTGAAGCAGCATAATGCTTGGTAGGCATCTTATGAGAGTTCCAAAAGACAGGTAGTTTCTTCTTCATGTGAGGAAATAGCCCTTTTTTGCTGTCAGACTTTGTTGGTTCATAGCAATGAGCTGCTGAGAGATTAGAGAGACCGCAACTCAGTAAAGCTCAAGTCATTATTATAAACAACACACACACTAAAGTCCAACTGGGTGATCTGGTAATTCATTACTTTCATATGACTAACACTGAGATTAAGTTTATTCCTTCCTGATAAATAGAAATCCACATCCATCCAGTGCAGTGATGGTCATCTAAACAAAGTAAAGCTGCTCCAATTCCACTGGCTGTGGAAGCCCTGACTAAACAAATGTGCAACAAATGCAATGGCATCTCTCTTAAATGTAGGACAATGAAAACTCTTCAACTGCTATATGTCAGGAACTGGTTCATATGTTTTTTTGTTGCTTTAGACAGCAGCCTACCCAAATAGCAAGCAGGTCTGGCCCAGATCTGGTATCAAGCCGGCACTTCTGACTGACTGGTGTCATGGCAGCTATAAAAGAATTAGTCCATTCTCTGAACAGAGTTTCGTCATGTTACTTTTGCGCTATTATGTTCCGGCACATGTTGTTATTACATGGCTTGATTAAAGTACACATAAGGCTGACATAAGGCACAGGACCACCAGTGTGCCTGCAACTGACCTTGTTCTGGCCCATGTGTGGGCCATCTCTGGCAAACCAGATCTGGACCACCAAAGGGCCGTCATTCTTTGCGGTATGTGGGCCATGTGTAAGCACATTGTGTGGGCCAGATCCAGGCCATACCAATTTTGCTAAGTGGGTATGCTTATAATTACAAAACACAAAATATTAAAAAAACAAAAAAAACAAAACCCATTTTCCTTACCTAATCCCTTGAATGCTGAGAACGCAAAAAAAGAACAAGAAAAAAGAAAGAAAGGTGAAAACACGTTAGTAAAAAGAATTTTCAAACCTTTTGGCTCTTGAGCTTCATACAAACAATTGGCTGTATTGGTCTCCAATCAGCTTGCTAGCTACTGCATTCCAGAAACACTGTCCAAGGTGTAGCCCAACCCATTTCAGTTAGTATGTTTAATTATTTTATTTTAAAAAATATTATTTTTTAAGACCATTGTTGGTTTTAGTCTAGTTTAAACCAAACCAGTCCACTGGATTTAGCTACATTTTGGACAGTGTTTTTTGGAATACAGTAGCTAGCGAGCCAACCAGAATTTTTGCATCCAAGACTGTGATTGGTTGGTTTTGTGGCACATTTACAACGGTGTACAGAAAGAGTTGAGCGTGCAGGAAGCAGAGGTGTTGAAAGCATGAGCGTCACACTGAGAGCAGGACGGTAGATATCTATGAGCACACAGACCAGATTTCTGAGCAGGAGAAAATGCCAACAACTGAGCGAGAGGGGCTGTTATTGTGTGTGTATATAGATATTAGCAAACACTGAAATACATTTAGCAGCAATGAATTTTGTTCGCTCAAATTAAGCTTTTCTTCATTCAAAATAATTTTCTCCTGAAAATGCAACATTTGTACTTACAAAAATAATATGCATACACTCAGAACAGAGGCACAAAAATAATGCCATAGATTTTATAACTAAAATAACATAACATAACTCCTACATAACTCATACACACCAAAAGTTGCTGGCTGACAATATTATAACGATTTGCAGAATCCTCTGGGTCAAAACTACTGTAAGATGACGTAAAGACTCCATCAACACTTAAAAGTATTAGGGAACAAATTTATTGGGTAACCAATGCTTTTTTACATGCATCCCTCTCTCTCATACTGCTGTCTGATCAGTACCTACATTATTTTTACCACCTTGTTGCTAATCATTCTTTTCATTTGGGTCTGACCTTCTCTTAAACCAAACATTTTACTGGTTTTATTCATGCTCAACCATCTTTGCTTCAGAGCTGTGGCTGACTTTTAGCTTTGCTTTTGGCAAAAACTCACAGGGTGTCGGAACATTTCTGCACACAAGAGGTCCTTGAATCACTTCGCTGTTGTCTTTGTTGACAGCAATGAAGGCAGTGAAAGAACTGCTCACTCCTGTTTGGACACTGAGATGCACCACCTTCTCCTTCACACCTCCAACTTGCTGTCCTCTGTGCTCTCTCTCCCCCATCTCCAGGGAGCGAATTAGAGTTCGAGCACCCAACCTGTGGACTGTTAATCTGCAGATAAGAAGGAACACACCAAGAGATGGTTTACTTAAGTGTTTCTTTGGTTTTTTTACCATTGTATTTTTTAAGGTTATATAGAGTTGGAGTCAAACTCCCCAAAAATCACATCAGATACCATGATTGAAAACAAATGCTCATACCTAGAAGTAATCAAAATCCAAATGACACATGAGCACTTTCTTCAGGTTTTAAACCTGCTGATAGCGCTGATATTAGAGTTTGGATTGTTACAATATTTGTGATTAAGACTAAAAGAATTTATAATTAATATCTCAATGAGCAAATTCCACTGATTCATTCTCACTGATAGTGAGAAAGAAGTCTCTCCTCCTGTGTGAGTGGTTAGTAATTACAGCAAACAAGAGAATGTTATCTTTTTTACTTTATTTAAAAGGTTTGTGGATAAGCTCAGCATGCGGAGTAGAAGTTATGAAGAGATTCAGAAGTGATTGAATGCAATAGGATATTAACCCTCTCAGGCTCAAATTAAACTTTTTGTTGCTAATGCACAACCAAGTCCTGCAGTGGTACTTCTGAGTAAAAAAACTCATAAAATATGTATGTGGGGTAATCAGGTTGTTAGTTTTTAACTGTTGCAAATCGGCAACGCCTGCCTTGAGAGGGTTAATCATCAATGTCGACTTAGCCAAGAATGCAATAAAAAGTAAATGTCAGTGGTTATTTAAATACTTTATTTCAGATGTGAACACAACATATTTCAGTTCAACATTCATTATAATCTACTGCTATTTTCAACCCAATATATCTAAAGTCATGAACCAATGAAAAGTACTGAGTTTCTTAAACTCTGTTTTACCCAGTGTCCTCTGCAGGTCTGAGACTGAAGTGCAACTGGTTCTCAGAGGGATGACCTGCCAGGCTGTACTTCACCGTCACACAGCCCTCTGCTGCCTCTGAGCTCTGACACAGAATCACAGGGTCAGAAGTTATGAAATAGTTAAACAACAACATGAGAAGGTGCTGCTCTTACCTGTCCACTGAGCTGGGCATAAATCAGTGACCTCTGACCCTGGAAAAGTGCTGTGATTGGTGGAGAGAGGACAGTGACAGACACTTCCTTTGGTAAATCCCATGTGACTGAGATGTCGACCACAGTCGGCTGCAGAGCAAATCGCAGCGACTGCATCGCCTGAAAAATAATGAAAAACTCTCCAAATATACACAAACAGCTGGAACAGACATTTTACTCACTGCAGGTCTGATCACAAATATGCATCTGCTGCTGCTGCTGCTGCTGCTGCTGCAGCAATGTTTAACTTGACTTCTAATTGTGTTTAATGTCTTACTTTTGCTTGCATCCTGTCAGTCCCTGTGATGAACTGAGCATGACCTCCTCCTTCGTTGGCCATCCCATTGATGAGAGCAGAGCTGGCCCCTTCCCCAATCCCAAAAGAGAAACACCTGCAATACAACAGTTTTCTACATAGAGGACATGTTGGACATTCTGTAATTGTGTAGACGTACTTGTGTTTTTGTGGTTTCACCTGTGAGAATCTGAGTTCTTCTTCACCAGATCTATCACTTCTTTGGTGTTCCTCACCTCTCCATCAGTAAAGACAAACAGCTAGAGAGGAGAGTTGGCACATGAGGACAAAACATCAGACCCAGAAACACACAGCTTGTTCTGAGAGCTGAGTTAGGATTCAGAAACACAAATGTTTTTATGGTAGTGTGCAAAGAACAATGTACAGTTAGTATGAACTCCAAACTAAAGAACAAAGCTGTTACATGAACAACGATTATATTCACAGGGTTAAAATATGTGATATATTTTAACCCTGTGCCAATGCTGAGAAAACATTTGTAGAGCGTGTGTGGTCCAAGTTTTGTCCAATGTTTTTATGAAACTGAATCTGCTCTATGTAGATACATCCCTATAAAGCATCTTCATGGTGATATAAAAAAAGCTAAAATATCCTAAATCATTATATTTTAAGATGAAGTTGTTCTAAGGCTAAAGCAAGGCAAGCAGAAAGTAAAATTAAGTTCAAAGGAAATTTCCAGGAGATTAATGCAAAGCAGTTTGTGTGTGTGTGTGTGTGTGTTTTTGTGTGTGTGGTGTGTGTGTGTGTGTGTGTGTGTGTGTGTGTGTGTGTGGGTGTGTGTTTGTGGGTGTGCGCGCGCGCGCGACATACGGGTTCTTACTATCTTGGTGGGGACCATGGTCCCCACGTTGTTGAAGACATTTTCCACACTTAAATTGTGGTTTTAGTATTTTAGGGTTACAATTGGTTTATGGTTAATGGTTAAGTTTAGGGTAAGCATTATGTTATTGGGATGTCCCCACGAGGACAGCAAACCAGAAGAGCGTGTGAGTGTGTGTTACCTGTCTTGGCTGATTGGGAATGCAGGGCTGGCTGTAAATATATTTGAGGGGCTCCAGGATCTCAGTTCCTCCAAGATTAGCCTCCATCTGCTCAACTTTCTTTAGAGCCTCCTCCATGGTCTGCTGGCTGTACTCCACACTCTTACTGCCATCACACAAATACCAATACAAACATGCACGTATTTCATGTCAAGGACAAAAGGACCTTTGTTGGGCTGGAAGAGACTCACGGGAAGATGTGTTCATATCTGGACCCAAAACTGTAAATATTGAAATAGCAGCCCATTGGTAAGCTCTTCAACAGGAGCAGCAGAGTATCCTTAAGAGAACATTGAAAATATAGTGAGGCCACTGTGTGAGAGGAACAACATGAAACTATGAGTTTATGACTAAATATATTATGAATACCCTGGCACTGCGGATGCGAGTATTACTCATACTTCCAGATCGATCCATTAAGAACACAAACTCTCCACATGAAGACATCGCAGACTGGGAGAACTCAGGGTACAGACTCACCATCACCACTGGATCACCCATCAGAGAGCCTGAAAAATAAAAAATTTTTTAAAAAAAATGGGAGAAATTGTTTTTTGTTTATGCCAACAAATTGAACTTCCAAGCAGCAGTAGATAAGCAATTTTTTTTTACATTTTCAAACCAACTACTCCTATCATTTCCACTCACCCGGCTCAGCAGAGGCCTGTCCTGCCTCCACCACAGCAGTGGGCTGGTGGGCGTCTTTGTAATAAATCAGCAGTTCAACATCTCTGTCAAACTTGTGTCCTGCAGCCAGCTTGACCTGCACACCACAAACACATTCATATTTATTCTCAGTTATAAGTACAGAGCAGACACAGCAGCACTCTACCTACCGTGGCCTGGGTTTGATCAGTGTTGAGGTACTGGAGAGGGTCCAGGGAACAGTTGGACTCTACTTTAGAGATTGGACGAGGAGAGGACACTCGGGCAGAGAAAGACAGACTGTAGGGCACTAACCCCACACTCGAAAGACCCCCTATGAGCAAGTTCCTTGGCAACAATGAGAGGGAAAAGCTCCCTATTTACAGGTAGAAACGTCCAGCAGAACCAGGTTGAGGGAGGGCCAGCCATTTGCCAAGACCGGTTGAGGGTGAGAGGAGTAAAACAGGACAAAGACATGCCGTGGAAGAGAACTTGAATTAAATGCAGAGGTATGTGTAAACGTATAGTGAGTGAAAAAACACTCAGTGAAGAAAAACACTTAATGCTTCATGGGAACCTTGACCTATTGCAGTGTACTAAGGCAGTGGTTCCCAAACTTTTTTTGCTAGGCCCCTCTTTGTTTTACAAGAAAAATGTTGCCCCCCCGCACGCACAAGCACTAGCACAAGCACATCCTCCAACCACACACACACATATTTTGCTTCATTGCGGTTTATTTCACACCTCAAACATTTAGTAAACAATTAAGCAAATACAAGTAAACTGCAATAAATTACAGGTAGTAATAATAACTACTAACTCTTTTACTACGTCCGCACCTACACAGGTATTTTTGAAAACGCAGCTGTTTCGTCCACATAAACGTTTTGAATCACCGATAACTGAGATTTTTTTAAAACTCCTTTTTTGCATTTACACGTGTGGACGAGGAATACAGAGTTGTCACGACAACGTCAAAGGTATGTGCCTTTTTCACGTCACTGTGCGCCACGTTATTCTTTACATGAGATGAATTGGCAGATAGAGACAAAATACTGTTAATCTGCTATCTGCAGGTTTTACACGCAGTTACTGTCCCTTACAAGCAGAGGCGTCACGGTGTGATTATTTTACGTGTAGTTGTTTTGTTTTTTTCCTGTGTAATAATATTCAACATTGCTATCAATACATTTTTCAAAAATGCCTCTCTGTGCAAAATGGGTTTAAAAACATAAACAACTGTGGGATACTGTTTGTCCGTGATTTGAACCGGGGGAACAAATCGTGGCAGGATCAGCCTGACCCCACACTTTGGGAAGGTCTGAACTAAGGGAAGTTTCAGGGTCACCTGATCCAGTCCTAACTATGTGCTTTAGCAAAAAGGAAAGTTTTAAGCCTAATCTTAAAACTAGAAATAGTGTCTGTCTCCTGAATCCAAACTGGAAGCTGGTTCCATAGAAGAGAGGCCTGAAAACTGAAGGCTCTCCCTCCCATTCTGCTATTATATACTCTAGCATCTACAAGTAAACCCGCAGTCTTAGAGCAAATTGCTTTAATGGGGTGATATGGTACTATAAGGTCAATAAAATACGATGGGGCCTGATTATTCAACTCCTTGTATGTGAGGAGCAGGAATTTGAATTCAGTTCTGGACTGAACAAGGAAGCCAATATGAGAGAAATATGTTCTCTCCAGTCCCTGTCAGTACTCTCGCTGCTGGATTTTATATCAGTTGAAGTCTTTTCAGGGAGTTTTTAGGACATCCTGATGTTAATGAATTACAGTAGTCCAGCCTAGAAGTAATAAATGCATGAACTAGTTTTTTCAGTGTCACTCTGAGACAAGATGTTTCTATTTGGGATATAGTGCACAAATGGAAGAAAGCAGTCCTACACATTTGTTTAATTTTTCAGGTAAAAGGAAGGCTGTCCTGTAATTAGTTAAGACTGCTGGGTCTAGAGGTGGCTTTTAAAGTAACAGTTGAACTACTGCCAGTCTGAAGACCTGTGGTACATAGCCGCTTAATAGAAATAGGTTGATCATATTTAAGAATGAAATATTAACTATTGGCAGAGTTTCTTTGAACAGTCTTGTAGGAATGGGGTCTATGAGACATGTTGATCATTTGGAGGAAGTAATGAAGTAATTACTGAAGTTAACTCAGAAAGATCAATTGAAGAAAAAGATGAAATAAATACCAATGGTACTGAAAGTAACTCTACACATTGTTAAGTCAGTGAGATGATTATCAGTATGTTTTTCCTCTAGTAGTTAAAATTGTATTTGTGAAGACATTCATGAATTCATTACTATTTAACGTTAAAGGAATGGTTGGCTCAGCAGAGCTCTGACTTTTTGTCAGCTTGACTACAGTGCTAAGATAAGATACGATAAGATAACCTTTATTAGTCCAACCTGTGGGAAATTTGTTTTGTTACAGCAGAAAGTGGACAGTGCAAAGTTACATCGTAAAAATTAGAAAAACACTGGAAAAGGATAAGAATAAGATACTGTACACAATTGTAGACAATGTAATAGAATAAAATGAATAAAATGCTGCAGAGAAACCTAGGGTTGCTCTTATTTCCTTCAATCAGTGATGAATAGTAACCTTCTAGCTTTACTGAAGGCTTTTTTATAAAGCAAAAAACTATTTTTAAGCTAAATGATGATCTTCTAAATTAGTGAGACACTGTTTCTAGCTTACTTTATCTGCTTTAAGGAGCACATTTGCGAGTTATACCAGGGAGTCAAGTACTTCTGATTTGAGTGTTCTCTTTCAGAGGAGCCACAGTAAACCCTGTGTTTAAATTCTGGCTAGAAATGACACAAAGAGCAAAGAAACTGCAGTTATAGTAATGGTGGAAGGCAATCAAATAATTTTGTATGTTTGAAAGACAGAATAAATGCAGAATGAGAAAGAAAGAATGACATAGCCTAACACAGCACAGATACTCCGTAACCCCAAAGTCCATCCCCTAATCATGTTATAGATTCTGGACTTGAAAATAAAGTGTTGAGAAAGACAGTTGCTTTCAATGTTTATGTTTCCATGTTACGCTTAATTCTTTTCAAGTTTATCTTTTATGTCTACATAACAAATTCAAAAATATTTTATTTATGGAGGAAGAGAGACGGAGAGAGAAAGAGGTTGGAAATTCCTCCACCACCATAGTTGCAGTTATGAAACCTTTTTCTATGCAGAGGTGCGAGTTTGAGGCTTTCTGTTAGTGTCAACGTTTTTTCCTACCCTGAGGCTGGTATCGAGGGTTGAGCACAGTAGGCAGACAGAACCTCAGACCATCATCAGCCTGCACAGCCAGCTCAGTCACGTACTCCAACCTGATGGAGGCGCGCTCTCCTGGAGGCAGACTGCCCACACTCAGAGAGAATATATCTGGACTCTGATCACTCTCCTCCAATAGGAAGGCCTGCTGACCCGAGCTCAGAGCATCATCATACTCCTCACGAGCCTGAAGGACAGGTGGCACATGTCAGTGACATTCACTGTGTTTATATGTAAGATTAAAAATAACAATAATCAGGTTATATTTACTGTCCAGCTCACCTTCTGTTTCTCCTTCACCTCAGCTACAATCTGTGTCTGTCCGATCTTAGCACTGAAATGACAGACAGCAGCGTCTCCAGGCAGAGGGAAGACAAAAACAGCCTCTAATGGTTTGTCCTCCTTATTCTCATAGTTCAGGGTGGAGACCACTGTAGCCACATGGTCCCTCACCTCCAGCTCCACCTCAATGCTCTTCAGAGGAACTAACAGACAAACATAATTCCAGCAGTCACACTTCATAGTAGCATTTATTTTTTAAAGTCAAAATTAGATTGTTCTCCTGCCGAGTAATCTGTCCATGTAACTCTACTAATTTTTGATGATAAAGAGAAAATTCATTTTAATGTTTATCAGATTTTTACCTGGTTTGTTCTGGGCAGTTAGCAGACCACATGATGTCATCATTGTACCTATATAAGAGACAAACACCACAGAGAGAATCTCGCAATGAAACATTTAAGTTTACATAGTATATTATATTTCATTTATCAGCTTTTTTTGGAGTCTGTCTCTTCTGCACAGAATCAAAGCAAACTTTCACATCAACAAACAGAAAAAGGTTTTTCTACCGGCTCAGAAAATGGTTTGTTTGAGAGAAATGAGTCACGAGGTTCATTGATTAGATTAGATTAGATTAGATAAAAATTAATAAACCCTCCGGTGGGTTCCGCCGGGAAATTCAGTGTTCCCGGTACTCATTAGTCTGTTCAGATCTGAGGATATCTGAGGATAAGTGTCACAGCAAAACAAACTAGCAACTCTCTGATTCTGTACTTCAGTGGTCCCAACCTTTTTTGCGTCACAGACCAGTTTAATGTCAGACAATATTTTTACAGACCGGCCTTTAAGGTGTCGCGGATAAATACAACAAAATAAAATGATACGACCAAGACAAAAACTGTGATATTTTGTAAATATTTGTAAATATAATAATAAACGCGACTTCACTGTATAATTGTGTAGCTGTTTATCTGTCTTTGTTTCAGTGTAATCTATCAGAATAGGAAAAAAAGCAATGTGACTTGCAGGATAAATTATTTATTTTATTTTATGCAGGTTAAATGTCACATCTGTTCTGTGAAGCTTCCTTACACAAACAAAAGTGCTACTTGGCAGAGAGAAACATTCCAAGATCAGAGGATCCTTTAACGTACTGGGGGAATAGGAAGACATCTTATTCGAACCTTTTCCACCTGGCTTTACAGTTTTTGTGTACCCCAGCTTCATCTGTGCCCTGTGAGCATGTGTTTTCCAAAGCTGGGGAAATGGTGTCAAAAAAAAAAAAAAATGCAATAGACTGAATGCAAAAACATCGGATAAACTTATTTTTCTGAATAGAAATTTATAATAAACTCTGAGTCAATTATATTTAAATAGGTAATATTACATTCACAATACTTTCACTCACAATATATTTTAAAAGATGTCTACAATATTTGAAATGTAAAAGATATAAAATGATTCCATGGAAAGTACAATACCTTACAGTGTATACAAGAATGACTAGGTCATTGAATCAGTGTCTGTTGTGAGTCTCAAGTAAGTTGCCTGCAATGATATTTAAGGTCCAGCAGGTGTCAGTATGGAGCAAAACAGCAAAACAGTGTCGATACAGTTTGGGGAATGTGCTGAAACGCTTCACGAGGCCTCATCTACCCATCACTAATGTATATGTATACCACTCCCCCCCCCCCCAACAGGGCAAGTATGTGCTAGGCTTTGGCCCACATCAGTCTAAAATTGTATGTAACCATGAATAACGTGTTGCCATGTCCACCAGGAGAGACTGGACAGATGTAAAACAAATATGCCAGCAGTTCATTTCAGCTAACGAGAGGAGCAGGCATGTGTTTGGCTCCTTCACATAGTGGACACTGAGTTGTTGTGTGGGGCACCAGTAGTCCATGTCTGTTGCTGTAACAGTAGTTTATGTTCAGAATTAAAAAAAAATCCCAGCTCACTGATTTGATCGGGGCAATAGTGCGCCTAAAATGTTGCTTAATTTTGCTGAGAGATCTTTTACTTTGTGGAAATCTTAGATGAGTAGTTTTATGGACAAAAACCAGCAGGTCATTCAGTGTTCCCTTAGTGCTCATGTATAAGAGATGTTGGTGTACTATAACTGAAGTAATGTTGTTAAGTCCTTAAAGTCATATTCTTTTATTGTCATGACTGTATTTGAAGCTATTTTTATTTTTGTATGATATCTGATTTATATGGAATATGGCTGAAGTAAACTAAAGTCTAAAATACTTAGTAATTTGTTTAATAGTAATTTAACATATATAATTCACATATAAAACTATGAATTGTAATTTTAAATGGTTTAAAAGCATGTAGAATAGCATGTGTAGGCAAGTATATTTCTCATTCTTTTTCAAGAAGCAAAGACAAGAAGGAAAAAAAACAAGAAGAAACAGGGCAGAGTTCGCCCCAATCATCCGTCCCCACCAATGCCAAAAACCGAAATCTCCGCCCTTGATACCACCAGACCTGAAATTAAAACACTTTCCAGACGCTAATTAAAAGAGCAAGCTTAACAAAACAATATGGCTAAAGTCAGGCTACTTGTGGCGTGAGAGGTGCCATCCATTACTCACCCTTGACGTCGTCACTGCAACGTAAATGGTGCTTTATACTTGTATCCCTGTGTTTAGATTTTAAAAAATTCCTGCCACGGCGGAGATGCTCGAAACCGGAACGCCTGTTTTGCGGTTAGGCGTGGTCAAGGAAAACGGAGATTTAATTATTTATGTCAAATTTGTGCGCCGTTTTTGACGTCACGCTGTGCGCCACGTTTTTTTTTTTTACATGAGATGAAGTTCTACTTCCCCACATGCGGATAATAGTGTTGCTTTTAATCTTACTACCTGCAGTTTTTACACGCTTACATATACACACGCAGTTACACACACTGTCCCTCTATTTAGAAAGACAAAGGAGTCAGGGTGAACTTTCGTAGTGGCTTCTATATTCAACACAGATGCTCTCAAAACCCAAATCCCCACGTCGGTTTTGAATACATTTCTTTTTTTAAATGAAACTCGTGTATGCTGTATGCATTTTGCTCATTCCTAAGTTGTGAGTCTACACCAGCCAAAATACTGTCTTCAGTTATTAACATCTGAAATAGTGAAGGCACTTAAAAAGTAACACAAAATTAGCTGGTTTTTCCAGAAAACCTCCAAAGCTTTTCAGAAGTACTTAACAAACCCGTTTCCGCTTTCCCTCCCAGGCTTCTAGACTTCTGATTCGCCAACATTTCTACACAGTTAGGATTTGGCATGTTCTTGGGGCAGCGTTTGACTTCGTTCTTTGAGTTTACATGTGGACGGAGTTGATTTTAGCTAGAGTTCTCTTTTTGGGGAGAATTAACTTATCTCTTTTGAAACAAAATATCCCTCTGCATTTGATTTGAAAGTGTATTATGTTCAGCTGATGCTGAATACAAATGTAATTGAAATAGAATTACCTAAAGTAAATGAAACATTAAGTAAATATATGTTTAAATATGTGACTGAATGTTCAAATGTGGTGGAATTAGCTGTTTTCACAATAACTGAAAAGAAGAAAATGCTGTGAAGTGGTTTTCAAGTTTAACTTATAAACTCCATAAAATGACATACACTAAAGATCAAGCGTTTTAGAAAACCCCAACTTTGTTTTATTTTATTTTTTTATTGAAAATTCTGCAGTTTGTCTCATTGCACTCTGAAATAAAAGCATAGTACAAATAAGCAATTGGAGTTTAAAAAGAAATCATGGAATCAATTTATAGACCAACATGTATTCTAAACTTTTGACTGTTCAAAGTAGCCATCTTTGGCAGATATAACAGCTGAACACACCCATGGCCTTCTTTCTACAATAGAAATCAAAGGTTCTTCAGAAAGTTCTTCCCATATCTGTTGCAGAAGTTACCATAAATGTGTGGCATTGTATGTACGTTTGCTTTCACTCTTCTGTCCAGTTCATCTCAAAACAACCCAATGTGGTTTAAGTTTGGAGGCTGTGCTGGCCACTCCATGTTTTCAAGCTTACCATCTTGTTCTGTTTTTCCTGAGGTAGTTCTGTCATACCTTGGGCTTGTGTTTTGGGTCTTGCTGTAGGATGAACCCATGACCAAATAGGTACATACCAGAGAATACTGGATGGGGCTGCAGTGTACTGCAGTAGCCATTTTGGTTCAGGGTGCCTCTCACTCTGTACAAGTCACCAACCCTGAATCCAGCAATACAACCCCAGACATCACACTTCGTCCTCCATGTTTGACAGTTGACACCACACACTGTGGAACCATCCTTTCGCCTAGTCAACGGGGTACAAAGATCCTGCGTGATAAACTGAAGATTTCACTTTTTGATTGACCAGTCCATAAAACCGTCTTCCTGTCTTCAGTAATCCACTGTCAATGTTTTATGGCCCAGGCAAGCCCCTTTGTTTTATTCTGACGTCTTACCAGTGGTTTTCTTGCTGCAACTCGTCCTGTCAAACCTGCAACTTGAAGTCTTCTCTTCAGAGTTGAGACTGAAACTTAATATGCTTACTATGACCACTATTAAGCTGTGATCCTCTGAGCCGCTTATCATGGAAGCTTTTAACTCTCAGACACTTGTCCTCTGATTCAGTTATGGCTTTGGGTCTGTCAGATCTCTTCCTGTATGAGTTTAACCCAGTTTCTGAGTGCCCTTTGATGGTGAAGGAAACTGTACTCACTGACACCTTGACTTTCTTTGCAACTTCATTGTAGGAAAGACCTACCTTTTTTAAGTGGTATGATGGTCCGTCTCTCTTCCATTGTTAGTTAATAATAATAATAATAATAATAATAATAATAATAATAATAATAATACATTTTATTTATAGGCGCCTTTAAGACCCTCAAGGTCACCTTACAATAAAACAAGAACAATCGCAGCAAGAAAATATAATAAACATGGAAAAGTTCCCCTTTTCACACCATTTTTTTGTAGCAACACACTACTTTCTACAGCACAATACCATTCTACTGATGCACACAAGATTATGGCACCACAGTGTGTTGCAAGACTGCTTTTGTGCAGTCAAAGGGGGTTGTAACTAATCCCGAAAAGTTGGACCACTTGTAACAATGAGTAGCACCAACTTTCAAGGCTTGATCAGAGGCGGAGCCAGACATTTGAAACACCCGGGGCTTAGCCCAAAAGGGT